GTGGGTGTGTGTGTGTGTGTGTGGGTCTGTGTGTGTGTGGGTGTGTGTGTGTGGGTGTGTGTGTGTGTGTCAGGCCTCAGTGTGTCTGGTCTGTTCCAGGTGACGGGTGATCAGTGGGTCCTCAGGACTGGATCTGTTAAAGAAGAGGAAGAGGAGGATAAAGAGGAGGTTCAGGTGAGGCTGAAGGTCATCTGGAGGTCATGTCATCATCTGTTAACCAGGTTAACCAATAGAATCTGCTCTGCCACCATGTGACCTGCTGCTGCCCTGTGATTGGCTGATTAGACAAAGAACAAGAAGAGAAACGAGACTTCAGCATCAGGACAGAAGATGGTGAGGAGGATTGGCAGCATCGTGCTGCAGCATCGTGCTGCAGCATCGTGCTGTAGCATCGTGCTGTGTCGCGCTGCAGCATCGTGCTGCAGCATCGCGCTGCAGCATCGTGCTGTGTCACGCTGCAGCATCGTGCTGCAGCATCGTGCTGTGTCGCGCTGCAGCATCATGCTGTGTTGTGCTGCAGCGCCGCCAGGCCTGCCGGAGCTGCGCTGCGTGTCTGAGGGAGAACTGCGGCGTTTGCACGTTCTGCCGCGACATGAGGAAGTTCGGCGGTCCGTCCCGCATGAAGCAGAAGTGTGTGAGGCGTCGCTGCCTGCTGCTGGTGAGTCTAGAACCAGAACCAGAACTGGGTCTCTGCCCAGAACTAAACCTCCCTCTGCTGTCCCGTCAGAGCGCCCAGAAACAGCCGACCAGGCAGCAGAACCGACCCGGGGAGCAGAAGGAACCGTCCGACCCGGTTCGACCCGGAGACGACACCGACTCTCCGGACGCCCAGCAGGATGGAGTCCGGCGCTGGAGACACGAGAGGACGGCAGGAAGGCGGGAGGTAGAGGCCTGCTGGTTCTGGTTCTTCCCAGCAGAACCTCCAGTCGTCGCCGGACCCACTCTGGTTCCGACCCGCGGCCCGGTTCGTACAGATCTGAGTTTGTTTGTGTTCAGGAGGTGAGGAAGAGGATGTGGATGAAGAGGAGGAAGAGGAGGCGGGGCCAGACGGGCGGCGCCTCCGAGACTCGGAACGGCTGGATCGGTCCGCTGATGAAGAGCGAGGAAGAGGAGACGCCATTGTCCCACTGTCACCAGTTGACTGGGGCCAGTGGGACCAGTTCAGCTCCGACTGGGACTCACCTGCAGGTACAGACTTTCAGTGCTCTGCTGTCTGCCTGATCAGTTCTGACCCGTTCTGACCAGTTCTGACCCGGTTCTGACCCGGTTCTGACTTGTTCTGACCCGTTCTGACCCGTTCTGACCCGTTCTGTCTGTCCCAGTGGAACCTGACCCTGGACAGCTGCCACCTGCCCTCCACCACCCTCTCTGACTCCGCCCTCACCTGTCTGTCCGGCCTGCTGCCTCAGGTAGAGCTAGCTGTTGATCGCTCACCGTTTCCATGGTAACTGTCATCTGAGCGTCTCTCTCTCTCTCTCCAGGACGGATCCGTCCTCCACGTCTCCACAGGCCTCACCTTCATCCCTCATCCTCTTCCTCACTCTGCTGCCGTCCAATCACCCGAACCGAAGGAGGAGGAGCAGCCAATCAGCATCGAGCTTTACGGCAGGGAGGCGGCGCTTTGGACTGGGACGTCTGAGGAGGGCAAGTTCTACGAAGTGGAGGTGGAGCTGCCGGACCCAGAGTCCGACCAGAACACCATGACAACATCATCACCGTCGCACTCTGACATCACCGCTGACATCACCTGCAAGCGGCCGGACTTTATCTCATTGGTCGGTGGAGCCGCCGTCATTGGCTGATGAAACTGGGTCGGTCCGACCACTAAACCGTTCCCCTCTGCTTCCAGGAACCGCAGGGGTTCTGCCTGCTGGGGGGCGGAGCCAGGTGCGCAGGGGGGCGGGGCTTGTTCCATCTGCTGAAGGCACTGAGGAGCACGGTGCTGCCGGCGCATTGGGTCGCCGTGATGGCTGCAGGACCAGAGCTGCAGCTGCTGCAGTGCTGCAGGGTAGGCAGCCGCCGCCGCCGCCGCCGCCGCCTCTGCCTCTGCTCATGTCTCTCCTGTCTCTCACGTCTCCAGCTGTCCTCCATGAGGGACGCCATTGTCCACGTCCAATCAGATCGCAGCTTCCAGGTCAGCGTGCGGTCCCGCCTGCTGCCTGATGGACACCGCCTCTACAGGGAGTGCGCACACAGAGTCGCTCACCTGAGCCAGGTGACAGCAATGTGGGCGGGGCCTATGGTCTGGCTCCGCCTCTTCCTGATCCCATCCCGACTCTTTCATTCCTGATGGGGTTCTGACCCGACTAAGTTATCGATCAGAGATTCATTTAGGTTCCTCTAGCAGAGCATCATGTCTGCTGCATTACTCCTCCTGCCCATCAGGGGGCGACAGTGAAAAGGAAAAACTGTTTAGCAAAACGCTGTCACCTTCAGAACAGAAGTCCTTAAAGTATCTACAGCAGGGGTGTCCAAACTTTTTGAGACCAAGATCTACTTTTTCTCTCACCAGCCGCCTGAGATCTACCTCATGACACAAAGACATAAAAATTACAAATTAAACTCTTTTGACATATTTTATATGCGAATATGCATCAGTTATAGCAGAAATAATAAAGTGACAGAAAACCTGATCCAGTTTCTTCCTCAGTGAGATTCTGACACTGGGAGCAGGTTACTGGTTTCTCAGTCAGAAGCTGGTTTCAGACCTGATGCCAGCAGGTCAGTCAGTCATGGTGGATCTGAACTTTGGTTTGATGACTGAAATGTGAGAAACTACAGACTGATAGGAGGAACCAGAGAGCCCAGTAAAGGTAAAGGCAAATCTTCTGAAGTCGGGACATAATTCATTTAATTTCACATAATTATCGTGGCAGAGATTACTTTAAAAACACAACATTCAGTCCGTTACATATCAGGTTTCCAGGCTTGATATTTATTCCTCGATTATTAATAAGCCTCTCATGGACACAGCGCTGGTCGAGCAGCTCATTTAAACTCCTGCTCTGCTCTGTTGCCTTTTTTTCTCTTTTCTTTGTTAATGGGACCAAAACACCTTGTTGAAACAATAATTACTGAGATTGTTCATTTTAACACGTCTCGTAGATTTTTTTTATAATTATTCTTTTTTAATGAAGCTACAAACGTTTAGGATCTTGGTGAATATTTTTGATAAGCCCGTCAGAAGAGGAAGTGCTGCTCTCAGCTTCCTGGTGGCGATCAGATTGTCACCTGCTGAGATCGACTCAGAACCTTTCCGATCGATCGATCGAT